TCCACCCTTCACCTCCACTCTGCCCTGGCCCATTTGGCCTTCCTGTTTGAAGCAATCTCCTCCCCAGCCACACCCCCACTTCCTCCCCTCTGAGGTAACCACTGCACCCACTCCCACTGAGGTCTCCAGCCAGGGATGCCCCTACTGCCACCCCCGCCCTCTTCCCCGAGCCCCTGAGCCCCTCTCCTCTGGGCCACATGGGTTCTCCCCCTTGCCCTGACCCAGGACCTGGCCGGGGTCCCAGAGGTGGAGGCCAAGTTTGGCAAAGCCGCCCAGGCTGCTCAGGTACCATGGTGACTCCGGAAGGAAAACATTTGCCAAGCTCAGAGGGGCATGTGAACGCGGCAAGAGACCCATGACTGGGCCATGGGCAGAGCAGAGGCATGGCGTGAGCCCGCTGGGCAGCCTCTCCTCCCCTGCTGCCCCTCCCGGCCTCTCCCACACCAGGGCACCGGGCAAGGCTGAGATGAGAAGAGGCTGCTCTGCAGGCAGGTCCTGGCTTGTGCCCGCCCAGCTGAGTCAAGCCCGAGAGAGCCCTCTCCCTGTGCTGCCCCACCCTCACCCCAGGGCTTGGGGTTCCCGAATGTCTATATCGAGTACCATGTATAACACTGTGAATGCCCTTGTGCCCAATGTTAACAATACTTCCTGCACATCTGCTGTGTTCAAAGTGCTGGGTGTTGCAAACGCACGGTCGGGGGCTCTTCTGTGGCATGGTGTGCAAGGCTGTGTTGAGGTCTGTGTGTTATGTTGTGCCCTTGTGAGAGTCTGCATACTGTGGGATCTAGGAGGCTGTTTATTGTGTGGGTGTGAGTATTGTATCAATGCGTGTGTGTCTGTGCATCATGTCACAATGTGATGCCGCGTGGGTGACTGTTGTCTGTGTTGGTACGTTCAGTAACTTTCCGGTGACAGCGTTGTGTGGCGCGTGCACTGTGTATTTCCTCCTGTGCTGTATGTGTGACTGGACTGTGTTGTGGGGTGTGCTCTGGTGCCCTGGGGACCACCGGGTGTGTGTGATTGAGTAGGGAGGTGGGGGATGTTCTGCAGAACCGACCCTGCCCCTGTCCTGCAGGTCTGAGCCTGGGGTCCCCAGCAGCGCCTCCCTCCCTGCAGCCCCTTCTCCTTCTAGAGGCAGAACCAAGTGTCCTGTCCTCCCCACTCTGTTTCGACCCTATGGGACAGACCCATTGGTCAATGTGTTCCAGTCCCAGACCCTCTCCCACCTCCTCCCACACCCAAGGCCCCAGAGGGTACCCAGGATACCAGGTGGAAGTGCCTACCCGTTGGACACTGGCAGGGAACCCTGGCCCTGAGGTATGTTACCTGGAGGGGTCCAGTATGGCTCAGACACCTTCGTAGGGTGACTTCGGCTCCCCTGGCAGCCGAGTTTCACGGCTGAACTTCAGGAGACGTGCAGTGAGGGACTAAGGCTGACTCAATCAGCAGCCCAGAGCAGCTGCCCCAGGAGGAGGAGGAGGAAACACCTTCTCACCTTCTCAGCAGGGCCCGATGCAAAACCAGGCCTGGACTCTCGGCACCCGGGGCGGGGGGTGGGGTGGGGTGCTGCGAAGCCTTGCCTTGCAGAGGACCCAGAGCCAATTTGGTGGGCGGGAGGCACCCGGGGCTTGGCCCCAGCCCCACTGTGGACTTATTCTGTAATTCCTGTCCCGCAGGGCAGAGCGGCACCAACCCCTCAGAGCCTTGGTTGTCTCAGCTGTGGAATGGGTGGTGCCCCCACCCTGCCTGCTGAATTGCTGATAGGAACTTGCTTTGAAAGCAAGGTTAGAGACCTTTCTAAGAAGCAGGGTTGGAAGGGTTGCAGACTGCAGTCAGAGGACCCTTAGTAGAGAGAGTTCTCGCTCTGCCACTTTGTGACCTTAGGCAGGTGTCTCAAACACGCCGAGTTGCAATTTCCTCTCCTGCACACTGTGGATAGAAGTGGGAAGAGCCTTATTCTAAGAGACAGGAGAGCGCCCGGCACAAGCGGGCATGTGGTAGGTAGCAGGTGTCCCCTCTCCAACACAGTCCATTTCCACAAGTGTCCCCTCTCCAACACAGTCCACCATCACTGCTCCTCCCTGTCCACATGTGCCTCCTGGGAAGCGCTGGCCACAGCCAAGCTGCTTGGTCCCCT